CTAATTCTACAAAGGAAAGAAAAAAGCCAATCAGGAAACCTTGAATTTTTTTCAAATGTTTAAAAACATTAAATTTTCTTCAATGACTGCAATCTCCAAAACTTTTTAAGAGTCACGTTTTTCAGTTAGTGAAATGCATTTTATTCTTAACTGGCATTCTGATTTTTAACTATCAAATTAGGCTGCTTTTAGTGACTGAGACCAACACCTTTTATCTTAAAGGGCTGATGTTTTAAAACAACAGCAACAAAAATGAAGCAAGCAGTAAGTAGTATTTAACAGAGTGGCTTTTAGTTTTTAATTTTAATTGGAAAAAAATATATCTGTGCATGTCTGGAATCCTGCTGACTGCCTAGACAAACCCCTGAAATTTCCTTGGCAAGATTTTTCAAAAGTAATTTGCCATTGCCTGTTTCCTAGGGCTGAGACAGAATGACTGGCCCAAGGTCACCCAGCTAGCTTTGTGCCTAAACTGCGACTACAACTCTCTACACCCAAAGAAAACATTACAATTAACAAAAAATTAACTATGATATTACATAAAAAGCAAATAGCAATACAATAATATTGCTACAATCATATGAAAAATAAGTGCACATTATATAGTTTTTTATTTGTTTAAATGTCTGGATATATAAATAGTTTATCTTCAAACAGTTTATAAATATAAAGGTAATGTAACTAAAAAAATCTATGATAATGTGACTTTGCAATCATTTATTCAACAAAAAATTAACAGATATGCAATTTCCTTCCTCTCTAATGTTCTAATCATTTGCATCTAATCTGGTGTAGCTGATTATAATTTTAGCTATCTGAGATACTGTATATGGACGTACAAATACTTAGTTTTTCTGCACATGAAATTTGCACTCATGTTTATTTAAATTACACAGACTATAAATGTAATATCTGGCAATATATTATATTATATTATATTAATTATATTATATTATATTAATTATATTATATTATATTAAATTATATTATATTATATTATATTATNTGTCTTTAAGAGTGAGAGAGGTATGGGAGCTCTGGTTGGAACTACGGATGGGAATCTCTTCCAGAGGGCCATTTGTGCTGACACGTGCCTTGAATGTAAACAGCAACTGCTTTAATAAAGTTTTGAACAGGTTCAAAAGTAGATTATAGTCTGAATCAAGAGGGTGACCTTAGGGGCTTTTCATACATATGTGATGAAACCCGGTTTACTGGTTAAACCTATACTAATAGCCTACTGGGGTACGGGTGCTAGATTTGTTTCAGAACTAGATTATTTTTGGCATCCAAAAGCCACACAGCATTGCTGTTATCCAAGGAAGTGGCCTTGAGGTTGTTTTGTGATCATTTTGGTGGTTTTGACACTAACCTGAAGTTATGGATTGTCTGAAGCATGAGACCACCAAGAACTGTCTACCAGGATATAATGAACATCTGCAAAATAAAACTTAGAAGAACACATCAAGGTGAATGAGTCCCGAGGGACTCCTTGAGTTTTAGAAAGCACCAAGCTAAGCTTCAGTAATGCAGTGGAGTCGATGTGGTTTCCTTTGAAATTGTCCTCGGTGCACTTTTTCCTTCGTTAGAGATGCCCTGAATTCTTCTGCTGTCCCTTGCAAGCTCTACCGGGAGCCTTTAGGAGAGCATTTGTGGACCTTCAGAGCCATCTAGCAGCCAGGAGTGGCAACAGGCAGTGGTGCATGCTCTGCAGTCCGTTCTGCCCAGCTGAGTCTCCCAGAGGCTGTGAAAAGAAGGTCAATGGGGTGAGGTGAATCAATGGGGCTTTCGGGGGGGGGGCTGATTGGGTTGGCAACCCAAATAAGCACGACCAGCCCACTGCAAGAACGACAGAGTTACTGCACTGGGATCTACCAAACCACTCAGCAACCAAATGAAGGAGACGGATTCAGAGAGTTCAAGGGAAGGAGTCCAATGGTGGTGGTGCTGGCTGCGTCTGAGCTTTTTTTAAGAAAACAGGAAGTAGGAATAAAAGAAGCATTGCTGTTGAGGCTGATATCAAAGAGGCAGCCAAGAGGTGGAAGAAGTTGCACATCTTTCAAAGTGGCATTAATTCAAAAGAGTGGAGCACTTTATTTTTTTGTTTTTATTTTTTTAATTCTATTTTTTTATTAAAAGTTTTAATGAGTTTTACAATTATATACATTCCACCTTCCATTCCTCCCCGCCGCGATCCCACATCCCTTCCCCCCCCCAACCTCCCAGAGCAAATACAGGGTATAAACCTTTAGCAACCATATACTAAAATAAACTAACTAGCTTTAGTGTCATCCCTCGCTTGTACTTTAACTCCCCTTTTATAAAGCTAACTTTAGCTAAGTTGTAACATTCCTTGCTCAATCATACATAAGCTATCTAACGTTTCTCATTCCCATATTTATTTTGAATGTAATCAATCCATCTTCTCCATTCCAGCTTATATTTCTCGTCTGAGTAATCCTTAAGGTATGCTGATATTTTAGCCATTTCTGCTAAGTTTGTTACTTTTAACGTCGATTCTTGAATAGTTGGCAATTCTTCCTTCTTCCAGTACTGTGCCACCAACAACTGCCGTTGTTAAGTTCAGACTCAAATTGGTCTCTATAACTGTACAGTCTGTGATTATANGCAAGCCACTCCCACAAAGGAGGCCACGCCCACAGAGTAGGTTCGAACAATTTTTGAAACCCACCCCTGATGTATGCCATGCATCAATTCTACACATTTTCCATAGTTTTGCTCTTATATTTATGCTCATGGTTTCATTTTGACACATATGAAAGTGTAGTTATTTACTGTGCTAGAAAGAATACTTTATTCTGTTTTTTTATTTAAAATACTTACCCCTCTTTCACATCCTTACTCAATCTGAAAAACACTTTCTTTTTTGTTTAAACTGCTTTAAATGACAATTTTCTCAAGCTGATGTGCAATTGAATTAAAGTGTGTATTATAAGTGAAAATTGCCAACTTTTTAAAATAGCTTTTATTAATCTGTTTCATTAATCTCCTATTTCACATTTTTATTATTATGGAAAATTTCACATTTGTATACTACTAAAACTTTCATGTTTCTCTGTATGTAACCTTTAACTTAGAAAAATGGTGCAATGCATGACAGTTTGTGAACCAAGGGACCTCAAATGAGCTAACTTACAGAATGTATCCAAAATCTAGGACCCATGAAATTGAAATTTGAAAAATTTTATAAAACATTTTGTAACATAAATATTATCATAAAACATTTTGACATGATAATGTTAAAAATGTCATAAACATTTGTGATCAACTTCTTTTTTTAACAGTTTATTTATACATTTTCACTTTACATACATAAGTGCTTTGTGAATAGTGTATTGTCTGGATCTATTTGCTTACATAGTGATAGTTTTTCAGCCCCTAATTTCTACTTCTATTATCCAACCATTTGTAAAACAAATTTCATCTTTAAAAATACTCTGTATCTTATTTTTCTTTAATCTTTAATGTCAATCTCTCAATTTCTACACAATCTAATATTTTTTTAAATTGCATCTTCTTCTCCATGTGTTTCCTCATTTTTCCAGGACTGTGCAAAACAATTCTTGCTGCTGTCAAAACATATAAAATTAAATATATACTCCATTTATTATACTTTTATGGTACTATACCTAACAAAAATATTTCTGGTTTATAATCTATATGTAACGTTAACAGTTTTTCTAACCATGTATGTATTTTTGTCCAATATTTCTTTGTTTTTACACATGTCTACCATATGTGGTAATATGTGCCCAGTGTCTCATTACATTTCCAACATTTGGTGGACATGTGTTTAAACATCTTTGCTAATTTCGCCGGTGGTAAATGCCACCTATAAAACATTTTATAAGTTTTCCTTATAAGTGGCTGACATTGTCAATTTACAGTTTCTTTCCCAAAGTTTTTGCTATTTGTCTAATTCTATAGTGTATCCAAAAAAAATTGCCCATACTATCATTGTCTCTTTTACCTATTCGTCTTCCATTTTTAAGCTTAACAAGGTTGTATATTTATTACCTTCTCATCTACCCCTAACATTATTCAAATATTGTTTGCTCTTTGTAGAAGCCATATATATGCCTTAATATCTTTCTTGTATCTCAATTGTATTTGCATATGTCACCACCATGATAAGTCCACACTTTGATTCTGCAACTTGTTTAGTTTTAAGTTCCATTTCTGCATTTAAAGTATCTTTATATGTTAAGATTTTTTCCAGATTTATTACATTTGGATGGATAAATGGTTCCATTGTTGAGAACCAAACTGGTATTTTCATGTAAACTTTTGCTTTCATGTTTTCCCATACTAGAAGTAGAGCATTTCTTATATGATGACTTTGAAAATATCTATGAGTTTTATTTTTATCATACCATAGAAAAGCATGCTATCCTAATTGGAGATCATGACTTTCCAGAAACAGTAATCTTCTATGTCTGAGAGTTATCCATTCTGTCACCCATGCCTGTGATCAACTTCTGATGTTTGACTGTGCTGTACAATTCAACATGGGCTATTTTCAAGGCAGTTGCATCTCTGAATTTTTCCTTGAAATTTTAAGAGCTTTTCCAGTGAAGACAATCCATTAGAGGCTCTGCCATTGTTAAAAGCATTGAGGAACAGAGTAAGGAAAGATTTCTGAAAGGATGACCCAAGGGATTATGAGTTTCCTATTTGGTCTTTAAGGGAACAAAAACCTTGTTAAAAGATAAGTCTGCAACATTGGTTGTTGGCTATACTGAACCTCTCCATTATTTGCATGCTAAAGAAGTGCTATTGTTCTAGAATTAATACTGACATGTGCAGAATTTTACTGTAGTTTATGATGATGCTTCAGTTCCTATCAGCATTAGAGCAACAGAGAAGAGGCACAGCATCACTTTGTAGTGATAAATCTTTCTTGCTCACTCGCTGTCTCCTCTGTATTGTGAGTAAAGGGCAGATGACAAATGATTTTGTTTACTATAGGTCAGAGAGAAATGTCACCAGTTCTTTATCTGAAGTGCCTCCTTACTGATATACTTAAAGAAAAACTGAAAATCCCTTTAATCAATGAAGCTAGAGAAAAAGCACTGGCTATTGCAGCACAGCAACATATGTCTACTCTGGAATATGAGCGAAGAAGAGCCACAGGAACACTTGAGAGCAGTAGTGTTCGAGTTGCAATTGCAGCCTTGGGATTGTCAAGAGTTGAGGTGAAAATGCTAATTACTTTAAAAATTACTACAATTTTGCTTCATACATTACCTTTAAAACTGCTAATTAAGCAGATTTTTATTGCACATAAACAGACTGAAAAAGGACGTTTTGCTCCTTCTGCACCTCCTATCTATCTTTTGGATTCTTATTTTTTTTCTTCTGTTATAAAAACACCAATGCTGCAAAATGGAACATTACTCATAATGCTGCAAAATGGAACATTTATGATTTTTTCCTATGCTACTATTTAACAAAGGTCTTAAACAGAAAAAAGAATTAAAGAACATGTTGCTGTCATAAGTGCAATTTTATGGCGCATGTATCTTAACCAAAATAAGTCTGATTGAATTGGATTTACTAATGAACTCTAATGGACAATAATGTTTAGGTTCCCTTTAGAATAATTTATTATTTATTAATATAGAAAATTAATATATTTGTCTCCTGATCACTTTATATTTCTATTCTCTTTCATTACTTAAATGGGCTATGATTTTGATAATTTTCTGAGTTTGTAAGAAATTCTGTATTCATTTATTCTAACTTTCTTTTGATAAATCATGAACTAGAGTATGTTTAAAAAAGATATTCCATATTTCTCACTAATTAATTTCAACTGTTCAGAGGTATATTCTTAATATAATCCCATATTTTTCCTTTGAATCTTGTTTTTTTTAAAATAAGGATCCTATTACATTGTTATTAAATCTATACCATGTTTTTACAGAAAGATGCTCTGCACAACTATCCTTTATTCTCTGAAAAATGTATTGAATATAATGTTGAAGTCAGCATGCCTGAGTTTTTTGAAATTCCTTCAAAAATATATATACCTGTGTTAGCCTCATGCAGAGTTAATTCCTCAAAGACTAGAAAACAAGACCATTGTTTTGATACAGCAGGTAAGAAGCATTAAAGTAGTTCAACTAAAAATAAAATGTAAATGCCATCTAATCCAGGAACAAAGTTTATCTAACATTATTTAGGGAGCCACTTGTTGTACTGCTACTTTTTATCTTAAGCTTTGTGTAGCAAAGAGATACCTTGTGAGTAGTACATTTCCAGTACTGGACAAAAAGAAATCAGTTTGGAGTTGTTTATGACTTATCAGGACTAATGTAGTCCACAAGATAATTTTCCAAACAAAATATCTCCAGTTCTGGGATAATAATCCATACTAGAGCTTGATTAATTTTATTTCAGACTAGATTGGTGGGGATATCATTATCATGATGTAACTGTAATATTTTCCTGTATCAGCAAGGTAAAGGCATTCCTTGATATACAACTGCAATGGATCCTGCCCATTATGGTTGCATGTTGTGATGGCTGTTAAGGAAGATGGCCTTGCTTAATGACCCTCACCTCATGTTCTCCTTGATGTGGCTGTTAAATGAATGTGAGCATCGTAAAGTGGAGCACAGGTACCTCAGTGGTGGGAGTAGCACTTGGAGGCCTAGTGCAGACCCAGGCCAGCTGCCATGGGCTTCTTAAGGGCCTCCCCAACCCTGAAGATACTCCATGTTCATGTTCCACTTTCTGCCCCTTGGCATGCCTCCCCCCCTCAAAACTCAGTCCCACAGACCTTTTCCCCCTCCCACTGATTCCCCATAGGCCCTTTTCTCTTCCAGTGGTAAGCTTTATCTCCCCTGCTAGGTCCCTGTATCCATTTTCCCCTCCTACTGTGTCCCTGCAGGTTTCTATCCCACCCTGCAGGCCTTTTCACCTCCCTCTGGTTCCTCACAAAAGCTTTTCTCTCCCCCACTGGGTCCCCACAGGCCTTAGGCCTGATTTCCCACCCCATAAAGCCCCACACTCTCGTCACTTATCTTTTGAAGAATTCCAGGCCTGCAACAGTGGAATGGATTGCTTCATTGCACAGACTTCAGAAGTGGTCATCATGTTCCCAGCTACCAGTTTCATTTGGCAACTGGGAACATGGTAGTCATTTCTGGAATGTAACCAAATGTGCTTTTGCATGTAACCACAAGCATTAAGCTCTATTAAAAATGAATACTTAATTTTTTAATAAACATTGAAAGAAAAATAAAAAGGGGGTTAGAAAAGTTGTATTAAACTTACACTGATGATAAAGATGTATCCTCTATAAATTATTCATGAAATTTATTTGCTTCAAAATATTAACTGTGTTAAAAATTGCTCATATCTTCAGATAAATTAAGTAAATATCGTATTAAAATGGTCTTATATTGAAATATTAGCATTTGCTTTCATCTGGATATTTTCTGTGCTCCTATTTAAATGGAAAAAGAGAGTTATAATCTCATTCAAGCAAAAATTATTTATGGGCCAGGAATATGGAAATTAGTTGTATTGCTTCTTTAATTGACAAATGTGAGTGTTTTTGTAAGAGATAGCCAATGAGGATAATAACTTGGTGACAAAATAGGTAATTCATGAATTAGCAGGTAATAATCTTACCTTTAGGAGACAACAGGCTGATTTCGCAGCATTCCAAGCAAAATCAGTTGAGGAAACCAGCTTAGGTTAACTATCACCTGATTTGGTTAACTACCGTGGTAAATTCTAGTCCCAATTATAGTAGTAAGTTGAGGATTACCTGTTACAATAAACATAAAGGAGCATTGGAAAACAACAGTAAAATCTATTAAGACTAATTTCAACAGTATTCTGCATATTCAAATGTGACTTTGAATATGTGTCAAAATTTGTCCCATTTTCATATATTAAAGCCAGACGCATAAGGTGCACTTTCAAATTCTAAAGTGCACTTCTAATAAAGTTTCATGCATCCCAGAAATGTTTATGCTTATGTATGGAATTTAAAAGCACTTTTTCCATCTACAGAAGATGATGCAATTGAACTTCCTCTAACATTTAAGCCCTGGCATGTTGGCCGATATCCTTGCCATATCCTTCTCGAATCTAAATATGACGTCCGCCTCTTTAAGATAGAATGTGTAGTGAACACTGATACCTTTGAGGCTGAACTAGAATTTGTAACTCCAGCATATCAAGCAGCAATACAGGACATCCCAATAGTATGTCTTTTATTACTTTATTAAAGTTAAATATGGCTTATATTAAATAAATTAAATATTATTGCAGTCAAGATGCTATTCTGGAAAACTAACAAGCTAAAATAAAATTGTGGTTCACATGTTAAAGCTTTTTCCTATAGTTAGTATTTAGTTAAGGGAACAAGTTTATGTTTATTGTAGCAGCAAGAGGAAACCTTTGTCTTTTTTCTTTAGTGCATTCAAAACATAAACTCTCTGTTTTTAACTAAACTGTGAAATCATTCTAGCAATATATTGATTTATTTACTGTATAACACACTTCAATATAGATTTATTCAAACCATATATTTTCTACACGTTTAAACCTTTAATTCTCATTCATGTTGTTTCTAACCACATATAACTACAATATTTAAAATCGGTTTCTTTCTCTTCCCTTTCTTCTGTCAATATAAGATGTTAATATCTTTCAGAGTAAATATTTTTTGTTATTTTATCAATTACAACAAAAATAGCAGTTTATGTAAAAATATCCAAAATCATACCATGTTTTCCCAAAAATAAGACCCGGTCTTATTTTCTTTTGGGCTTGAAAATAAGCACTCAGGCTTATTTTGGACTGTCTTATTTTTTTAAGTGCAGGAGGTGGCAAGCGCAGGGGCCAATGGGAGTGGAAGCACAGCTACCACTGGCCCCGCCCTTTCTGTCTCACTGTCTGCTCGCCTGCGGCTGCAGCTCTCAGCATACCTAGGCCTCCTTGGCACAGCGCAAATACCATTAATTCTGAGCATGGAGGCAGAAGTGGGGGGAGAAGACAGACAAACTGGACATGCTGTGTAGCTGCCTGACCCACAGAAGGCTCGGGGGAGGCTTGTGCAGTGGCACTGGCAGCATGTGGAGCAGGCAGAGGCATGGGGAATGGGGGAAACAGGCGATCTCAATGCCCCATGCAGGTGTCCAGAGCAAATCACTCTGTTCCCAAGCACCTGATAGGTGACCAAATACTTTTTGCCAAGACAGAGAAATGACGGAGACTCAAAAGTTCATGCACTTTCAAAAGGATGCTTTGGAGTGGAATGATTAGGTCTGTTTCAAAGAGTCCCCTTTGCAAGCACATGAAGCTTTGTCTCCCTCTGGGTGAAAAGTGAACAGCAGAGCCAGGCAGAGGCAGAGGTGATCCCAACATGCCATCCACTCCGTCCCAGTGTCCCTCAGCTTGCCTGCGGCTGCACTGAACAGACACCCACATGGGGCATCAGGATCACCTTCCTCCCCCATGCCTCTGCCTCTCCCGACTGTCAATGCAACCATGCAAGCCTCCCGCAAACCTTCTGTGAGTCAGGGAGCTATTCAGGATTGCCTGTCTTCTCCCCCCCTGCCTCTGCCTACATGCTCAGAATTAACAGTATTTGTGCTTAGCAAGGGGCCGGCAGGCTGTAGCTGGACACCATTGGCCCCCTCACGCTCACCGCCTCTCATGCTGGTCATGCCCATCCCCAGGCTTATTTTTGGGGTAGGGCTTATATTAGGCTCACTCCAGAAATCAGGCTAGGACTTGTTTTGGGGTGGGTCTTATTTTCAGGGAAATGTGATAAATATCTTGTTATTGCAATATTGAATTGAGATTTTCCCCCTTCCTCCATTCTGTGATGTTCTTTAAAAGTTCTTATATGTCTTCCACCTCATAAAATATTGACTGCTTTTATGTTTTAGACTAATTTGAGTCAACAAGATTGGAAACTTAAAGCAGATTTAAATGGACACTGTTTTTATGGTCCTCCTGTTATATATGTAGCCCCTGGTGAAACAAGTATGTATCCTCTCATGTTCAAGTCAACTGCTGAATGTGTAACTATGGTAAGAAATTAAAACATCACTTGTGTGTCTATTTTGCGTCCTCTGGCATGATATTCATTTGCATTTATGACGAGTATTTTAATCGTATATGCATCATACACTAATAGTGACTATAAAGCAGACTAAAGTAGCATTCAATTTGTAAATATATGTAATACATTTAAAAAATCTAAAATCAGAGCTTATAAAATAGCCATAGCTATTTCAGTTTTATCTTTTTATCATTTACTAAATTATTAACTCTTTGATTACATTAACAGAGAAAGATAATCCAGAATTTCAGGAATCAACATACAGCATTGACAAGCTATGTACTGATATAGCACATACATTAATATTCACTTGAATATTCTCAAGTGCAGCTAAAATAACCAGAAATTCAGAGCTTATGTATTATCTGAACTGGGGCTCTTACATTTCTTGTCTCTTTTGCTACAATTCATTCTTGGTTCTTATGAATTTNATAAATGTTCCATTTCTTTTCTATTATCATAGGGGCAGCTTACTTTACAAAATGAAGCAGATGGTACAGCTCATATCTTTCTCTTGAAAGGGATTGCAACAAAGCCATTGGCGCTGGATCATATTAAGCTAGATTGCCAAGTTAGACAAACTATACAAAAGGTCATAATGGTGCCCAATTTTACCAAGAATGAATTGATATATAAGGTATATATATATATATATATATCTCAAAGAGACTCTATACTTGTTTTACAGAATGATCGGTCTAATAAATACACAGTGAAACCTCAATGTAATGGACCCTCTTTAGACAGACTTTGGATGCAGAAACCAAATTGCTCCAGATATTCCCCTGAAATAATAGATGTATATTGCTTGTGACATAGTCTACATGAATTGGTAAATTTACACTGGTTTTATACCATTCAAACTGATTTGTATCAAGATATCATTTGCAAATGATGCAAACAACTTCATTTACATGATCTGTGCAATGATATCATTATAGAAATTAAAGCACCATCAGTGATGTAATATATGAAGCACTGGGTTCTAGTTTGAGATTCCTTTGGTCTTTATTATTCGCTAAATTGTTTTCTATTTTGAAATCCTTAGCATGCTCAGAGTAGTAAAATAACAGAAACAAAATTTAGTATTTTTCTTCTCTTTTCATAATGTCTTCTCAAAATCAGAATATCTGTCTTCAAAACCAAATATAAGTAATGCTTCAATTGAGTATTTGTGTTTATTTTAAAAACTTTTATAATTAAATGCAAGAACTAGTTTGTTTTAGTGTGTAAGGTTCCAGCAGTTCTCCCATGGTATGAGGTAGGCAGGAAGCTTTTGCTCCACTAAGATTTTGACTGAATGGGGTGTGTCCGGGGGGGGGGGGGGCTCCCAAAATTATTTTGAGTGTTTCCTGAATTAGAATGGCTGTGGCAGCAACAGACCTGTGGCAGTGGCCAGCCCCTGGCAACTGGGTCCAGAACTTTAGATAGGTAGGGAACAGGAGCTTTTTCTGGGCCTAATTTTTGTAGTAGAATGCCAAGGGTACAACTCTTCATTTCAGTAACAAAGAGTTCAAAACCTTTCATTTGGTCAGGCAGGGCAAGGGCAGAGGCACGGTCTAAAGCATCTTTCAAATCCTGCCATGCTTTCTGATGTTCCCCTGTCCAGTCCCAAGCCATGTCTTTTTGGGTTAATTGATAAAGGGGCTTAGCAATCACAGAGTACATAGGTATCCATAGGCGGGCAAAGCCAGTGATATCTAAAAAGGTTTGTAGTTGTTTGACATTGGTTGGCCCAGGCAGAGCTGAGATGGCCCGTAGCCGGCTGTCATGAAGCAGGTAGAACAAAGCCTAAATATTGCATCTCCCGTGTAGCCAACTCAACCTTCTGTTTTGAAACAGTATACCCTTTTTCAACTAAATGATTGAGGAGCAATGTTCCCTCTAAGCTGCACTCCTGCGCGGCCGCACACATAACAAGAAAACTCCGCGCAGAAGTTTCAAACTGCAGCGTAGTGTTTCTTTTAATGTGACTGAAAATATCCCCCCTCCCTCCCTTCTCTCTCTGCACTGAACTCTCTCCTCCATCTGGTGATTGGTGAAATCAAGGAACACTCTGCCTGGAGACTGATGACGCTGCAGAATGGAGAATTCCCATTGGTCCTATGGGGCTTCATCGGTTCCTGGGAAAACGTGATTCACTGGTTGTAGCCTGCGTTTCTCTGCATCCGGGGTTTCTCAGGCATTGTGTCATCTGAAGCCCCGTTCTGGACTGGGCAGTCTTTCTGCGATCCCTTCGCTTCGGGGAGAGAGGGAACCAGTGTGGAATTGGACTGCCTGAGCCAAAAAGGTCCACGGGATCTTGAGACTTGATTTTTGAGCAGTACCAATCCTTTCCTTTCCCTTTCTGTCCCTCTTCTATCTTCCTTTTCTTTTTCCTTCCCTTTCTCTTTTCTTTTCATTTCTCCTTTCCTTTTTCCTTTCCTTCTTTTCCATTTCCTTTCCTTTCTCTTCCTTTCCTTTCTCCTTTCCTTTTCCCTTTCCATCTTTTTCATTTCCTTTCTCTTTTCTTTCCTTTTCCATTCCTTCTTTTCCATTTCCTTTCCTTTTTCCTTTCCTTTCTCTTTTCCTTTCCTTATTTCCTTTTCCCTTTTTTCTTTTCCCGTCCCTTTCCCTCCCTTCTTCATCCTTTCTTTTCTTCTTTCCCATTTCCTTTCCTTTTTCCTTTCCTTATTTTCCATTTCCCTTCCTTTTTCCTTTCCTCTCCTTTCTCTTTTCCTTTCCTTTTTTCTTTCCAATTTCCTTTCCTTTTTCCTTTCATTTCCTTTCTCTTTTCTTTCCTTTCTTCTTTCCCATTTCCTTTCCTTTTTCCTTTCCTTCTTTTCNCATGCAGTTCTCCTGCCTCATAGTAGAGGGCGCTTTTTAGAGGCTTTTTTAAACAGTTAGGCAGTCATTCACGGTGAGGTAGCAGCTAGCTGGCCTCACCTCAGCACTTGCCTTTCCCTTTTACATTTTTTTTCTTTTCATGATGAGAACAGTAAGGCTGTGCCTCCTCTGCCTCCCCTGACTGCATGTCACTGACGTAAATGCATGCCACCCCAGTTGTAAGTCATGTCCTTCTAGAGTCAATATTCTTTTGTTCTTCAAATTTATACACTCTTTCACCCATGTAAGTACTGAGGCCTGGTAGTATAGTTCCCAATCTGGTCGTCTACACCTTCCCTTACTTTTAGTGTCTTGTAACGTTTTCAGTTTGATTCTTGTTTTTTTTGCCTTGCCAGGCAAATTTTAAGGTCAATTTGTTTAAATCCTCAAAAAACTTTTCCCCTACTTTTATTGCTTGAAATAAAAATAGCAATTTCAGTGGAATATTCATTTTTGATGTGGCTATCCTTCACACCAAGAACAACTGTAGATTTCTCAATTTTTCCAAGTCTGTCTTTATTTGTTGTATTAATTTAATGTAGTTTCCTGATTAGAATGGTTTCCTACCTAAAAGACAACTGAAAAATAATATGATTATTGTGAACGCATTGGAATATTACGAAGCTGATTCTTGGATGCACAAAAAGCCTTTGATAATATGAACTGGCAACTTATGATACTTCAATTAAAATGTATGGAGTTTGGCAAAAACTTCAAGCAATATATTCCAAGCAACATAGTCTGAACAAATGGCAAAAGTAATAGTAAATGGGGATATAAGGGAACATTTTAACATAAGCAAGGGCACAAGACAAGGGTGTACACTGTCTCCTTTATTATTTATATTAATTTTGGAGGTCTTGCTCAAAAAGATCAGACAAGATCCAGTAATAAAAGGTTTTGAAATAAAAAAAGAAAAGTACAAAGCACAAGCATTTGCAGATGACTTAGTATTTATTTTGGATGAACCCCTAGAAACAGGACCCAAACTAATAAAAACAACAGAAGAGTTTGATGAGGTGGCAGGACTAAAAATAAACAAGGAAAAGACTAAGATGTTGACAAAGAATCTCACAAATAAACAGAAAAATGAACTGACGGAAAAGATGGCTATGCAGATAACTAAAAAAGTTAAATATTTGGGAATCTGGTTAACAGCAAGATGTACAACCATAAAAAGATCTTCTGTTTTAGGAATCAGGTTGCACCCCTAGCCTGAAGTGAACTTTTCTTTGAACCCTGGATAACTGAGTTGTGTACCATCTCTCCAGTTGTCCTTTGTATTCCCTGCTGCTGCCCCGCCACTTTTTGCTGTCCAAGCTAAAAAACTTGAGTTTACTTCATGAACCTTGCTCTGCTTCCTTTCCGTCCTTTCCCCCTTCCTGCCTGTTAAATTTCTCATACTCTGTCAGACCCTAGCCCTGATTTAGCGAGACGAAGCAGACACGCTGGAAGGAAAGATGAGAGCTGTTTTTTTGGCTTGGGATTGGTTGCCACATTGAAGGTTTCATTAAAAATCCTTTTTAAAAAGTGCAGCCACAGATCCCTTCCCGGGAAGCAAAGCCTGGCTTGGACGAACTGATTAGCCCTGAAGGCGAGCTCCAGAATTTCTGATTGTCTCTCCCTTCTTAGGTGTACCTATCCAATAAATCCATCAGGAGAGAATAGGACATTAATGTTGGGGCAATCTAATATGGGAGGGAGAGAGATGCTCCAAAGGCCAGACACCACAAGAGAATGCTCTGTTCCTGGTTCTGCCAGATGACATTCCATAACTGGGAAGAGACATCTGGCAGAACCCAGAAAGAAAGCCCAGATATTAGATTGGCCCCAATATTAATTTGTTTTTGCAAAGGGTTAAAGATGTGGTTTTATTATCAGGTGTAGGGATCCAGATGTATTGTCTAGCCTATGTGGTAACTTAATTGCTGTTTGTGGTTTTTTGTAAATCTGCTGCTGTTTGTACTTGTATAGTTTTTATATATTTTTTAATTCCTGCTAGAAACTAAGAATCATGAATTTGAGTGGGCTACAACCATATAAATTGAAATAATAAAGAAGCATATCTGCTGCTGAAAATACTAAGGAGTTCATTCTTAGCTGTAGGATTACCTGGAAATCCTAGGTTTATAGGCTGGGTTTCTATGGATGTGTCTGTAATAGTAAGATTGGTGAGCTTATTCATAATATAAGGAGAGAAAAAAGAATGCATAAGTGAAAGTACACTTTCCTTCCTCACTTTCAAATGGCTCTCTGTTCTGAAGCAAGGTCCCCCCTCCCATCCAAATCCAAATGGGTGTCTTCTTGATAGCCTTCTGAAAGAACTTAGAAGCCTGATATTCTCCTAAATCTTAGGCTAGGCTGATGGATTCTTGTTTTAGAAAGCCATTTGTATGTTATTGGGATTTCCATTTTCTAGCTATCTTGAATAAGTAATTTTTGATTTACCATCATTCTTTTAGCAACTTGTTCAAAGTTACAGTGGCGCTGGAAAAAGGTGTCTTATGACTGATCCTCACACTGACAACCATCACAGGATCCCCATGATCAAGTGTGCTGCCCCACTCACCCACATGTTACTGTTGGTTTAGAGAGAGCTTTATTTTGTCTTTTCCCCAGCAGTTCTGTTTCAGGTTTCAGTTCATTCACAGCTGCTAGATTAGAACAGCAATTTGGCTTGAGACCAATTAGATAAAGAAATGAACATATGGCAAATTCAAAACAGTCTTGGAAGCAGGAGGAGTCAACGTCATGACTAGATGGACGTGCGGTCTCGATGCTCTGAGACCGCAGCCAATACTTTTGCCGCTGGGTGGTCTAATCGGACCTAAACCGTCCCAAAGAGACGGTGAACAGGAAGAATACGTCTTGCTGACCTCAGGGATAGCGCAAAATCCCTGAAAGAAGCAAGAGAAGTTCTTCAAGCTGCGACAAAAAATCCAGCCAAGGCTGACAAAGTCGGGGCAGCTCCAAAACGGAAGGATACAGGAAGCGAAAGTGTTTCCAGCTGATGAGGAACTTTTACTGTTTTAAAAAGAGACTGCCTATAAAAACTCAAAAACCAATTTAAACTAATAATAGAAGAATCAAGCGGCGGAATTAAATTTGGAATGGTTTTGGACAGTGGTTATCTTACTTTTTAAATGCTATCTTCATGGATGGAATTTATGCAAGCCTTTGAAACAAATGGATTAAGTTTTCTTCTTCTATTTTTTCTTTTATTGTTCTCTGTAACCTATGGACTAAAGTTTTCCTCTTTCATTACTTTGGGTG